TTGGAAGGTTTATTATCTGGTGTTCAACCCATGTTTTTTGCAATTGCTTTGAACAACTGTTTTGGGCAAAACGTCAATAGGCTGAGGAAAATAAAACCCAGTTTTACCTATGTAATCATAGTTAAAGGCTCCATCAATAACCATTTCCTCTTGATTGATTTCGGACAAATAAATAAATAAAAGTTTAAATAAAATAGTTTTAACTTCTTCTCGAATTTTTTTCTTTCAGACCAATAGCTTATAACTAAAACCAAGATTACTAAATATACAGGATGTGATATAATAAAAAACTATGTACTTGAATGAAAACATAAATGTATTTTTCTCTTCGTAAAACTCTCCATTAAAAACATTTTGCGTCACGCATTTTTGTACCTTTGGCGAGCCATTAATGATACGCTTATGGTCCGGCAATGGCTAGCCAGTTCTGGTTCGCCAGCTAAAGCCCTTAACTGGATCACATGTGTTTTGCCGGACCTGGCTCGCTAGCTCTGGCCCATTAATGTACTGCTGATTGGGATGTTGATTTCATATTTTCAGCCATTGTTGCAATAGCAAGCAATTTTTTCAAGTTAACGTCATCTGAAGATCTGATTACATTACGGGACTCATCCCTAAATCTAAGATTAGCACCAGGACATTTAACATTCACTATTTTCCAAAAATCTATAATCAACTCCAAAAAAATAATAGTACCCTTGACACTTTCTTGGTCTATTTTAGAATGAGTTTTTAGAGCTGCAACTGTCTCTTCACTGAATACTTGCAAACAAGTAATTACTTTTTTGTCGTTCTACTGGTTTAGAATTTATTGATGTTTCAGTCAACTTTAATAACTTTAACAATTGGTTTTTTTCAAGTGTATATAAGTTAACTAAATCTCTCCAATTTGCAATGTAAGATATTTCATTATAAATAAACTGCAACTGAACTAATTTTTTTGTCTGACAATTATTTCTAATACACTTTAAAAGATGGACATATAAAATATAATTTCCATTTTGACATAACCAAGGTTTTCCATCTACTGTTATAAATTTAGAAAATAAGCTTTGGTTAACTTTATTACCATCAGTAATAATTGCAACTACTTTACTATTACTTATAGAACTTTCTATGGTGTCTACAATTAACTTGCATTGATCATTTACATAAACTTCTATTAATTAAACACAATTTCTTTTTTTTTCCTCATTTTTTAATAGCACAAAACTTAAAAAAACCAAATCGTCTTGAGAATTTATTTTTTAAAGTTATATGAGTTAAAAGTTTGAATACTTGGCAACTGATAATCATAACACAATTGATTGTAAGTGGAACGACTTGTTGCAAAATATTCAAATGCCCTGGTTGTTATATCAGGTGAATATACAGTTAAGCCAACAGAATGATCTCCCATTATATTTAGATGCTGAAATAATATTTGGGTTTTATGATCCTCACCTTTAACTTTTAGATATCTAAGAACTTCATTTAAAGCTAACTTTGTATTAAATGAAGTTATTATGTTTTTCGAAAGAGATTTAACAGTACATTTTGAACCATAATGAAATGCTTCAAACATTAAACTTTGATTAATTATCAGCAAAAATAGTGGAACCCCACAATTAAAAACTTTGATTGAATAAAAAAAGAATTTTTTTGTTTGTAAGTAATTATATCATTTTTAGTAGATAAGTTTTTTTCAATATCTTCAAACTTTAAATTATCAATTATTCTATAATCTTCTAATTCATCTTTTTCGATACCTCTTTTTGAAGAAAAAAATAAAGTTTTTCTCATTTTTGGTGGTGGAGAGGACAGACAACTTTTAGAGATATCTGGAAACACTAATGGAGGATTAATTGGTCTCAGTTTACCACGATATAAAGTAAACTCAGCAATTACTGGCCAATGCAATTAACAAACAACGCTATATTTTGTTAAAGTCTAGTGTGAGCGAGGAATACTCATAAACCATTTGTTTGTTTTTTTCAGAAATTTCACGAGGAAATTTGTATACAGATATTTTACAATCTGAAGACTTATAATTTGAGTAACAATTTGGTACGCAGCATTTTAAAGGCATCATAAACTATTTATTTTAAATTTCTTTGAAAGCAGCTACAGCTTTTACAAATTTAAACAGATTTTTTTAAACCGGCCTTCAGTCAAGAAAATTCCTGCACGGTGTGGAGGCCTTCTATTAAGAAGGCCCTGCTATGATTATATAAACGATAGGGGTGAGCAAAAATATCCGATTAATCGGATATCCTAGTTTCGGGTCCGATATCCAATTTAAAAAATTCGAAAATTTAGGTATCCGACCCGGAAAAAGCGGACTAGTTTTTCCAGGTCGTTTTTCTTTAATATACGAATCCCGGAATTGGATCACGAATTATTGATAAATTGATATGATCCTGATATGATCCGGTTTTCTGCACTTACTAACTTAATGTCTCTGAGATACCTACAAATATCGTATATAAACGCTTAAGGACTCACAATCTGTATTAATTACACATAGATTGATAAGTATAATAAAATAAATAGAATTGTGAATTTAAATGTTAAAAGTCTGGTCAGGTTTTTCCTGCTAATGCTAACATAGAATTCAGTACAAACTGCTTCATGTCCTGCTGCCTCGTAGGATACGTCTTTTTAGGTAAAGGCTAGGAGATGCCAACTCCAACATAAAACACCCCCTGTCTTGGGGCTCTTGGTTGAGTAAAGGCTAGAGATGGTGTCTCGATATCAATACTCATGTTAGGTAGATGTTAAATGCATCCGGCTGCTGTCTTGTAGAAGGCCTCCTAGGCAAAGACTTAAGGGGTAAACAGATTCTATCTGTTGACTAGCCTCACACCTCTTCTTCCTCTGAAAGGATCTCATTTCTGCTACAGCATGAGGCTTACAGTGGCTGGTGAACTTTAATTCAGATAAAACTCAATTTTTTTCAGCCAATCGTTATCGCAATAATTTAGACCTTCCTATATTTATGAACGGTAATGTACTCGATGAGTCATCTACCCTTCATTTTCTAGGATTAAGTCTTACTTCTGATATGTCTTGGATACCTTATATCAAATCCGTTGCAAAATTAGCATCTGCTAAAGTTGCATCTTTTTATCGAGCTAGACACTTTCTTACTCTGGATTCTATTTTCTATCTCTAAAAATCTCAAACCCAGCCTTGTATGGAATACTGTTGCTATATGTGGGGCGGATCTTCTAATGATGTCCTTTCTCTTTTAGATAAAGTGCAAAAACGTATTGCAAACATAGTTGGACCTGCTCTTGCAGCCAACCTACAGCCATTATCAGATCGTCGTAATGTTGCTTCTCTTTCTCTTTTCTATAAATACTATAATGGGTACTGCTCTAAAGAGCTAGCGTCTCTTGTGCCATCTACTAAAATTCACTCTCGTGTTACTCGTCGTTAAATTTAGTCTCATCCTTTTTCTGTTACTGTTCCTAAGTGCTCCAAAAACTCTTATTCGTCTAGTTTTTTCCACGAACATCATTTCTTTGAAATTCGCTTCCTTTATCTTGCTTTCCTGATTCATATAGTTTACAATTTTTTAAGTCGTCTGTCAATTGTTATCTAGCTGTACAATATTCATCTTTTTTTTTCCAATAACTTCCAACACTAGTTTGTGGTTGCTTGCAGCCTTTGTTGGAAGCAAAGATGTTAAAAAAAAAATGATTACACTGCTACCTACGCAAGTATTGTGCATTTTATGGAATGATACATAATGTGTTACGTTATAAATACAACAGAATACTTAATGAAATTGAAGAGAAAAATACAAACAAAAATTTTTTATCTTTTATCAACAGTCTTGTTATTTACTGACTTAATGCATTCTAAAACTATTTAAAACTGTTTTCTAAAATTATTCATTTGCTCACGATCCTTGAACCGAAGATATGTATAATGTATATATATGTTTTTTACCCATTGAATTTGATTTTCATAGTAAAAAACTTTGCATGGATATTAGTGTAATGATTACTACGCAAACAATTCCCTATGAAAATTAATTTCTAACAATCGATTAGCGATTACGGAATAAATAATTTCCTTTGGAGAATTACACGAAAAATAATTGCTAAAAGAATTTTAACAATTCTTTTCCGTGTAATTTTCCAAGCCTAAAAGCATTCCCCAAGAGACTAATACAAGGAAATATCGCATAAAAGCTGTAGCGCTAAATTTAATTGAGTTTGAAAAACAACGACGCGAGAAAATTAAACACAATTAATATAATAATTAATTGTAACAATTGAATATATATAGAAATAAATAAGAACACGAAACATTACAATTAGTAATTTATACATAATTTCACAAGTTTGTAATATAGTATTATCTCAAGTCTTACGCGTTATATTTGATAATTCTTTTCTATATTTTCTGCATTACATGTATTATCCAGCTTCTGTTGCCTTCTTTAATTTCAAAATATTATATTTATATGAATCAGAATTTTACTTATGTTTTTAACTTTTACGCAGGCTAAGAATAGTCTTTTAAGTTTCATCGATGTAGTGAATTTAATAGATATCGACGAATCTGATCAACAGTCAAGCCACCAACAACATAAGCAGACTAAAGACAAAGTTTTGACAAATAGTAAGAATACTTATCAGGTTAGAAGAAAAAAGCACCAAAAGCTTCCAAAGCAGTTGAAGGTTCTACTCGTAAAAGAAAAAATGCTTTTCTATAGTGGGACCGTAACAAAAAAACAGATGATTTAGATTTGGCTTAGTGAGTTTATTGTCATAGATTAATTGATTGCAGCCCTAATAACGGGACCACATGTCCCGGTATTAGTTGTTATCTGCTAATTTAGATAAAAAGCAAAAAATCTTTACTTTCGAATTCCAAAACATAGGCAGAAAAGACGGATCTACTGAAACTTTTAGTAGGGGAACATGGGGCAAGATGACGAACGTTTTGAAAAATACTTATATCTTAGACAATAACTGTTCCAATAAGTAAAACTTTATCAAGAAGTA